ATGTTCATTTCGTCGAATGTTCATTTCGTCGAATGTTCATTTCGTCGAAAATTATTTCGTCACAAAAAAAAAACTTCATTAAACAAATTTATCCTCACACTTCCCACACACTTCGCTTTCCTCACCTAATTTCTTAACTAACTTCCCACACTCCTCACATCTAACTCGTTCGGTCTCTGGCTCAATGATGAAATAATTTTCGACGAAATGAACATTCGATGAAACAAACTTTCGACGAAATGGGTGTTGACGAAATGATTGTCGACGAAATAATTTTCGACGAAGTAAACGCGACCGACTTTGATCAAACCCACCTATAATAATAAAGGTTCATTTTGGAAACTTAATTTTCTAATAGAGCTTGGCTTTAACACTTACTCCTACCAAGCCAGCCTATATAATAATTGATAAAGCGAAATCGAGTTGACTTACCCGAGGGTTGAAAAGACCAACAACAACGATGATAAGAAATCCCCACTCAAAGCATTAAAATCCAAACATCTGGATTTTGAGGAACAATTCATGAGTTCCAACAGCAAGAGAAAGACCACAAATCACATCAGGGAGTCGGGTAAAAAAAGAAGTGCAGACCATGACCCACAGGAAGAATCAAGCACATCAAGGGCAACGAAACCGACACATACAATGAACGAAGTTGTCAGCAACAATAAAGGTTATACGGATGCAGTAGAAAATTCTTACAACATTGAAATGGTGATAATGATAATGAGAATGAAACAGTGGTAAGCGACGACGGTGATGAGAGTTGTGTCACTGAATAATTTTTATTATTTTTTGTATTTTTTTTTCGCAATAAAATTACGTAGATCAAATTTTTTTTCAGAAAAATAAAAAAAAAATTTTTTCTGAAATTACCATCCAGCGAAAGCAAAAAATTCTTTCCCAAAAAATTAAGTTTAAAAAACAAAGATTTTTCGGTTTCAGTTGCAATTGCAACGCATTGCTTTGCAATTCAATTCAACGCAACTCAATTTCAATGCAATTGCAATTGCCATTGCAACCTGTTTTTATAAAGCAAAACATTTGCCGTATATACGACACAATTTTTTGCTAAATATGGTGAAAACGTTGATCGCGCCAAAAACCGAAAAGACCAGGCGCGGCTAGACGCAAAAGGA